AAACATTTAAAGAAGAAATAGCATCAATCTTACCTAAATTCTTACAGGGACTAGAAAAAGATTTAAAAAAGGGTAAACTTTCTTAACCCACATTAAGAGCCCAGCCTAGCTTTGCTGCCTCATTCTGGCCAGGATATTAAAAGACAGGAAAATTAAAAGGTCAGTCTCCCAGGAACTTCCATGCAAAAATCCTGAGGAAAATCTTGGCAAGTCAAATTCAGAGGTACATGAAAAAGATCGTGTCAAGTGAAGTTCATTCCAAGAATGCAAGGTTGTTTTAACTGTTGTAAGCAATTAGAATAATTCACCACATTAACAAAAGTAGGAAGAGCATATGGTCATCTTAGTANGGTAAAGATAAATATCTTTTCTTGATGACAATTTTTAGAAAATTAGGAATAGAAGGGAAATTCCTTCATCTGATAAAGGGTCTCTGTTACATATCTACAGCAAACCTCACACTTAACGGCGAGATATTGGATGCTTTCCCAGAAGATTGTGAAAGGGACAGGGATGCCCTGTACTGTCACTTTCATTTAGCTAACTTTAAAAGCAAGATTTAAAAATACTTTTTAAAATTGTATGCCACAGCGATTATATTTATGTGGGATGTGGGTACATTGTATCACGCTTAATGTGGTGTGGAGTATGGCCTCTAAAAGAAAGATTGCTCTGGAAGGTCTCCTGGTAGCAGGATGCTCATTGCAGCACTGTTCATAACAGGAGTACTAATATCAATACTAACGCAGGTATTAATGGAGGATCGGTCAAATACGTTATGCTGATGGTAATGGCTAATGTTTATCGAATGCTTACTATGAGCCAGATCCTGTTTTGATTGTTCTAAATGGATTTTAACTCACTTAATCTTCCCAGCTTACCCTCTGGGGTAAGGTATTATTGGTATCATTGCCGTTTTATAGATAAAGAAAATAAAACCCAGGGAAGAGGGAGCCCAGAGCCACATGGCTGGCTGGCAGCAGCCTGGCTCCGGAGCTGTGCTTGTCTCTGTGTTACTCAGCCTCTCATGTGGCAGTTCTCATGTGAACCACCAGGACGGTGGAGAAAGAGTACAGGGCAGCTCCAGGCCCAAGAAACAAAACAATGTGCAAAGTAGTGTAATGATATGAGTAACCATTGTGTGTTTATGAAAACTAGGGTTTTTTCCAAGATTTTTTCTTTAAAAATGTCCCCCCCCCCCTTGCATTCTGAAAATTTTTTATGGGGGTAAAAAAAAAAACACAGGGTTTTTTACAAGATTTTTTCTTTAATAATGTCACTCTCTCACTTGCATTCTGAAAATTTTTTATGGTGGTAAAAAAAAAAAAAACACAAAACATGAAATCTACCCTTTTAACAAATTTTGTTCTGTGTGTGTGTGTGTGTGACCGGTAAGGGGATTGCAACCCTTGGCTTGGTGTCATCTGCACCGCGCTCACCCAGTGAGTGCACCGGCCATCCGTATATAGGATCTGAACCCGCGGCGGGAGCGCTGCTGCGCTCCCAGTGCCTCACTATCCCGAGTGAGCCACGGGGCCAGCCCACAAATTTTTAAGTGTCCAGTACAACATTGTTAACTATAAGCACAGTNAGAAGGGAAATTCCTTCATCTGATAAAGGGTCTCTGTTACATATCTACAGCAAACCTCACACTTAACGGCGAGATATTGGATGCTTTCCCAGAAGATTGTGAAAGGGACAGGGATGCCCTGTACTGTCACTTTCATTTAGCTAACTTCAAAAGCAAGACTTAAAAATACTTTTAAAAATTGTATGCCACAGCGATAATATTTATGTGGGATGTGGGTACATTGTATCACGCTTAATGTGGTGTGGAGTATGGCCTCTAAAAGAAAGATTGCTCTGGAAGGTCTCCTGGTAGCAGGATGCTCATTGCAGCACTGTTCATAACAGGAGTACTAATATCAATACTAACGCAGGTATTAATGGAGGATCGGTCAAATACGTTATGCTGATGGTAATGGCTCATGTTTATTGAATGCTACTATGAGCCAGATCCTGTTTTGATTGTTCTAAATGGATTTTAACTCACTTAATCTTCCCAGCTTACCCTCTGGGGTAAGGTATTATTGGTATCATTGCCGTTTTATAGATAAAAAAAATAAAGCCCAGGGAAGTGGGAGCCCAGAGCCACATGTCTGGCTGGCAGCAGCCTGGCTCCAGAGCTGTGCTTGTCTCTGTGTTACTCAGCCTCTCATGTGGCAGTTCTCACGTGAACCGCCAGGACGGTGGAGAAAGAGTACAGGCAGCTCCAGGCCCAAGAAACAAAACAATGTGCAAAATAGTGTAATGATATGAGTAACCATTGTGTGTTTATGAAAACAGGGGTGTTTTTTCCAAGATTTTTTCTTTAATAATGTCACTCTCTCACTTGCATTCTGAAAATTTTTTATGGTGGTAAAAAAAAAACACAAAACATGAAATCTACCCTTTTAACAATTTTTTTGTGTGTGCGTGTGACCGGTAAGGGGATCACAACCCTTGGCTTGGTGTCGTCCGCACCACGCTCAGCCAGTGAGCACACTGGCCATCCGTATATAGGATCTGAACCCGCGGCAGGAGTGCTGCTGCGCTCCCAGTGCCTCACTCTCCCAAGTGCGCCACGGGGCCAGTCCACAAATTTTTAAGTGTCCAGTACAACATTGTTAACTATAAGCACAGTGTGATGCAGCAGCTCTCTAGAACTCATTCATCTTGCATGACTGAAAAACTCTACACCCATGGAACAACAGCTCCCGTTACCCTCCCCACAGCCCCCGGCAATCACCATTTTGCTTTCTGCTTCACGGAGTTTGATACCTTTAGATATGTCATATACGTGGAATCATGCTGTATATGTCCTTCAGTGACTGGCTTATTTCACTTAGCATAATGTCCATAAGTTTCATCCATGTTGATAGGATTTTCCTCTTTTTTAAAAGCTGAGTGATATTTCATTATAGGTGTGTATGTAGCATTTTCTTTATCCATTCATCTGTTGATGGGCAATTAGATTGTTTCCACCTGTTGGCTATTGTGAGTAAGGCTGCAGTGAACATGGGAGCGCAAATATCCCTTTAAGATCCTGATTTCAGTTTTTGTCTTTTTTTTTTTCCGTGTCTGGCAACGGATCGCAACCCTCAGTGTCGCGCCCGTACTGGACCGGGATCACAACCCTCAGTGTCGTGCCCGTACTGGACCGGGATCGCAACCCTCAGTGTCGCACCCGCACCTTGCTCAACCAGTGAGCGGGAACCGGTCTGTATGTGGGATCCGAACCCTCG